GGAGACTGAGCCTGTCCTTCGATGCTTTGAACACAGGCATTGACTTCTCCTCTCTAGCTATGAAAGTCCTAGATGGCATTTTCTTCCATTATAAGGCTGTTTTGTCCACATTGGTAACCTGTTATTTAGTGTAGCCACCTTTGTTCATTATCTTAGCTAGATCTTCTGGATAACTTGTTGCAGCATCTCCATCAGCACTCGCTGCTTCCGCATGTACTTTTATGTTATGGAGATGGCTTCTTTCCTTAAACCTCATGAACCAGCCTCTGCTGGCTTCAAACTTTTCTTCTGAAGCTTCCTCACCTCTCTTAGTCTTCATAGAATGGAAGAGAGTTAGGGTCTTGCTCTGGATGAGGTTTTGGCTTAAGGGAGCGTTGTGGCTGGTTGGATCTTTTCTTCCTACCGATAATAAGGCTGATTCGACTTCTTATCATTCGTGTGTTCACTGGAGTAGCACTTTTAATTTCCTTCAAGAACTTTTCCTTTGCATTCACAACTTGGCTAATTGGTGCAAGAGGCTTAGCTTTCGGCCTGTCTTGGCTTTTGACGTGCCTTCCTCACTAAGCTTAATCATTTCTGGCTTTTGATTTAAAGTGAGAGATGTGCGACTCTTCCTTTCACTTGAAAACTTGGAGGCCATTGCAGGATTATTAATTGGCCTAATTTCAATTTGTTGTGTCTCAGGGAACAGGGAGAGCCGAGGAGAGGGAGAGAGACGGGAATGGCTGGTCAGTGGAGCAGTCAGAACACACACAACATTTACCCATTGTTTGCCATCTTATCTGGGTGTGGTTCGTGGCGCCCCAAAACAATTACAATAACAACATCAAAGATCACTGATCACAGATCACCATAACAAACATATTAATAATGAAACAGTTTGACATATTGTGAGAATTACCAAAATGTGACACAGAGACAAGAAGTGCGCAAATACTGTTGGAAAAATGGTGCCAATAGACTTGCTGGATGCAGGGTTGCCACAAACCTTCAATTTGTAAAAAATGCAATATCTGCAAAGTGCAATAAAGCAAAGTACAATAAAACGAGGTATGCCTGTATTAGTTTTAACTGATCAAGTCTATTTTTTTTGGTGGGGTTTATTATTGATTCTGTCTACTTTTCTATAATTGTTGTTTTACTAGCTTCTTAAATTATTTTCAGACTTTCTTGGCTAAACATTTTTCTCTAACTGTTGGCCTGAATCCCCCAGGTTTTGATATATAGCACTCTCACTGCTATTAACTTTGAAGTTTGTCCAAATAGTTTATTCCAGAATAGATTAGTTCTTTAACCTGAGAGTTATTAAGAATGGTACTTTAAACATTTCTAAGATATATTTCTAGTAAGCGATATATTTCTTAGATATATTTTTGGCTTCCTTTTTAAATTGTATTCAGTGAATCCTACTGCATTCTGTTCAAGGAATGTGTCTTGTATGATTTCAGAACTGACTTTCAAAGAAATGGGGGCAAGGAAGGCTCCCAAACACCCTGCAGGGTGATCCCCATGCTCTCCTCCTAACCCCTCGTGTAAGATGGGCCCACCAGCTGTTGAGACCCCTGACTTGTCAAGGCTTCTTCCCATGGAAGGCCTGGGGTGAGACTGAGGCAGGAGGTGGGAGCTGGCAGTGGTAACGGGAATTCCCTAACTCTGCGACCCGTCTGCAGTGCTAACTTTGCCCTCCCTCCAGTTTCTCCCTCCTTCCACTGCTTTGCCCATCCTGTACGTGCTGTACTCGTCACTCCCCTGCTCAAGAATTTACAATGGCTCCCTATTGTTAACCACAGCATTGCTTCAAGGAATCATTCTGTTTCTTTCCCCACTGGAATGTGTGCTCCACGAGGACTGTATCATCTAGAATCATAGCTGATACAAAATAGGCGCTCATTACACACTAAGTGGTGCCATGGCCTCATCTCCAACCTCCCAGGTCCTCCTACTCATCCTAGTTAAGTCTATTCATTTCTCCTTTTCCTTTCCAGCCCAGGGCACTGCGTCCAGTGCTCTTCACCAGAATTCATTTTTGAAATCTTGATTCCTATCTAGATTTAAAGATACTGAGGCAGGAATTACTTTTTTCCCAGGCTTACTCCCTTTCCAAACAATAAGTAGGACATGGTACATTCTCAGCATGGTCTTATTTGATCGTGGAATGATTTGTGGTGGGTTTTCCTCTGCTATTTATCATTCTTTCCATGAACTCTATCCAGCCATGACCTAGGTTCTGGGTACATGGTGAAGACATGGTCCTGAACTTGAAGGGAGCCTCCTACTCAACTCCATGGGCACCAGAACTGCTCCTCAAATGTCTGCTGAAGTGGGGAAATCATACATCATCTTCTCAAGCAGCCCTTGACTTGCCTAGGAAGTGAGAAATAGCCACGTCCACACAAGTTGTAGGGAAGTGTTGTGTGTCTTCAGACTCTGAAGGTGGAATCCTGTAACTGGCGTGAAGAGGCGGGTGAGAACTTCCGGGTTTCTGATTTCTAAATACCTACTGCTTTGGGGAGGCTTTGGTTGTCTTAACTTTATTGTCCAGGCAGATGCTGAGACAGAATGGGTTAGAAGGCCAACAGGCAAGTTTTTCTCAGTTCAATGCTTTTCTTCTTATAATACGCCAAATTGGCAGAAACTACTGAGGAGTGTTACTGTGGTTTCCTTCAGGTGAACCTCAGATGACACATCAGCTGGATGGACCCCAAAGTGGTTTTTCCTCATTCCACTATCACTACGGCTGCTCTCTCAAAGCAGACACATAAGAATGACCCGAGGTGGCTCTTTAATCAAGCACTCAGCAAAACTAAGTTTGTGGGCAGACCTCTTCTTTCACTAAAGCTTAATCACAGAATCCAGGGCTCCCAAAGGACTCCGTGAAAATGATGCAAGGGGTGGGTGTGAGGAATGCCAGAGATTACCTGAAGGTCTTGAACCAGAGTTTGACCTTCAGGAGTCTGTAGTAGACTTTTCTTGCGAGGCGGTGGGGGGGAGAGGGAGACCCTTTAATTTCCCTGCCCGTCTCCATCCTGGCACTGTACACATCAGGGCAAAGTACTATTACTTGAATTAGTACCAAAAGAGGTATAAATGTACCAAAAGAACTGAAATGCTGTAAAGTTCTTTAATCACGTCTTCAAGTTTCCCTGATTGACTATCTGCAATTTGAATTAAGAGCTCATCTGCAGAAACATAAATGAGCTCCAAACCAAATGTTCTGAGGCTGCCTGTAGGCAACTACAAAAGACCTTTTCAGTTAACTCATTATAATGGGAGTCACTGAGTACCCACTGCTCCGGCACATCACATTCTCATCTAAGCCTCACAACTGTAGGACATGGGTATCACTTCCCTTACCCACACACGAGGAGAGTAAGGTTTAAAAGATGAAGCCATTTCCCTGATGATTTCAAGCTAAATGGCTTGGAACCTGGGCAGTCTAATTCGAGTCCAATCTCTGAACCACTACACTCCGATGCCCAAGAAAACTTGAATTAATCTAGTCAATTTCTTCCTTAAACTACCAAACAGAATACAGGGCTACTTCATTTGGTTTAAATTCCTGACAAATATTTAGGAAAAAACGTTCTATGACTAGAACATAAAAGAAATGAGAAAGTGCCTACAGTATACGGAGGTAATGAAGTTCAATAAAAATTCCACCTAATTTTGAGCTTCCTGTAGGATCTATCCTGTAGTTCTGTTAGGCTCTTGGCATCAAGTACTCCTCAAATCCAAGGTTCTGCGGGCAGTTACCAGTCCTACTTTACAGACAGGTAACTTATAGGCCTAAAGGGTTAAGTATGCCCAAAATCACATGGCCCACATTCCTCAGGGTCCAACCTGAGCCCCACTACCTCCCCTCTCTTCACTCGGCAGCGCTCAGCCCTCTTGGGAGGCACACTGCAGCCTCTGAAAAGTGAGGGCCAGTGCCACAGCTCTCCATTCCTGCTCACCTGGGTTCACAGGTGAACTTACTGAGTGTCTGGAGCACCCAAATCCCATCAGAGATGTGAAATCTGGTCCTTTTAAGAGGCAGGTAAGGTAGACAGTGAAGGCTGCTCCTTAGAGGCTTCTCTGTTCTTCTCTTACCCTGCACCCCACCTTGTAAGCTTTTTGAGAAACCACTGCCATGAGGGCAAAGAGAACAAATACTATCCAGGTCAGTTTAGGAAACTGCTTTTCTTAGGTTGGTAAGCTAGCATGAAAGGATGTGCTATTTCCTTTTCAGGGCATTTTAATTTCATCACAACAAAGTGGGGTAGGTCAACAATTTCAGAAGAGTTGCTTTCAGCTGAGAATAGAACCAAACCAAGACAAAATTAAAATTGAAGATAAACAATGTGTATGAGGAGAATGCCTTCTCCCATTTACGTTTTATGTAAATCTCCCTTTTGGATTCTATCAAATTATGTGTATGGCTTTTTAAAATAAAAGTTACACAAAGGACAGAAAAATGGAAATAGTATTAACATTGGTTGAGAATTAGGTTTTAGGTAGCTTTTTATATATTCTCAATTCTTGAAACCAATGAGGATTTTATAAGAGTACTACCCCAGAGTAACAATGAAGACAATGAGGACTAGGTGAGTTAACACATCCAAGTTCACCAGGTTTGTAAACAGTGAGATAAAAGTTAAATCCATGCCTGAACCCAAATTGTACTTTCCTTTAGATTACACTGTCTCCTGAAGTGCAGGTGGAAAGGAAACACACACCTGTGGGTAAAGATACGTGATTTAATTCTCAAAACAATCCTGAAGTATCATTTTTACCAATAAGGAAACAGGCTAAAAGTTTCATCCTATATAAAGTGTGTAATTACTTTATGTAATTAGAGATTCTGAATGTTAATCAAAAGACAGGATAAATACCATCAAGAGGGATCAGTGGTCCCAGACTAGCATCTAAGTGATAAAAATATTTTCGTTTTCCTTAAGTGAGAGTCAATTTAAACTTGAATGGGCAATCTGAATTTAACTGAAGGACAGAGGGGTATTTTATCTAGAGAAAAACACAAGACCAGGTTTATTTCATACAATGTTATTCACACATTTTTCATTTTCTAATTTATACATAATATACAAAGAAGTAAAGATAACATTATTTCATATGAACCAATAAGAGCCAGGACTTAGACAAACTGGTCCAGAAACAATCCATATCAAAAGGAGACACTCAAGAGTAAAGCCTAAGTGGTTCTGCCCAATTAAATTTCTTTATTCTGAAACGTCATTTTCAGATTATACCAAAACTCCATGCCAACTTTAAAAGGTAGAATCAGAGAGGTGGGCACCAAAAATAGCAGACCATAAAATCTCTACAGTAACAGATATTTTTCTAAAATAGGCCCCAAAGCATTGGGAAGACTGGGTTGCCAACAATGGGACACATGGGAACATCAGGACCCTGAGAGAGGGTTCAGTTTCCCAATGTGCTATTTATTCTCTAGGACTTTCTAAATTTGCAAAGTTAACTGCCTGTGTCAACAGAAGGTAAGGAAAGAAAGACTAGGAATTCAACTGTGCAAATCCAGGAAAAGTCATCACAAATCACCAACAAGGAGAACTTTGATCCTGAAACCATGAGCTGATACTGGGAAGAAAAGTTCAACACAGGGCCAAGACCCTCTAAAGCTGGCCAAACAAAGCAGGAAAGAGTGGAAGTGGGGAAAGCACTGCCACCGTGACTGGGACATACTAATGAACCAGTGTGACTAGAAGGGACAGGGACAAGAGGCTGGATTTAATGGCCTCAACATGGAATGTTGGGTTAGAAACTAGAAAACTCAACATCAAAGATGAAAAAGTATGCCTGGCACCCCAAACTTTATGCCATTATTTTTAGATTCATGATATGAACAGCTAAGTGATAAAACCTTATCTCAATATTGTGCTCAGAAGATTGCTTTTCTTCTGCAGACTTCTAATAAAAAGTCCCTTACATGTTCAATTGAAAGAGATAGCATGGTTCATTAGTTTTCAGCACTAAACGTAAGTGGGTCAACATAAATGTTTTATACAAAATACTGACATCAACAAAATACAAAGCACTTTCTTTATCTTTCAGAAACTGAATATACAAAGCAAGTTTTTTTTCCAAAATATTTTCATAGGCAAAGGATTAAAAACCATTTTAATTATACACATATGGTCACAATTTTGCCTTAAAAAGATTGTTGGGAAATGTACATAAGGCCGCTTGTAAATGTACATCATGTTACTGTTATGTCTTATGTCCAGAGAAAAAAATGTTATCATACAGATTTGCTCTTACTTGGGAGTAGGCTATTCAAAAATACAGTACTCTTCTGTACAAAGAAAAAAGTCACATCACATTTAATAAGATGGAAAAAGCATTGGCCTCCATAGTAACCAAATATCTCAGTCCAATACTTTCTATTATGCACAATACCCTGACTTCTTGAAAATGATCCAAATCCTAGCATGTCCATATTAACAGAGTTAACAACTATGTTATAAAACAAAATGTTTCTCACAATAATAAAAAGAAAGCTGGTTCATACTTCTGAAACCATATAAAGATAAAAAATTTTTAAAAAATCACTCTCGATTTGGAGAAATAAATTTACATTTTACAACACTATATGCCAGGTCAAAGAGGGCAGGGACATAAATGTACACTAAAATGCAAATGTTTCCCAAAGAGATAAAACAAATTTCATTTACAGCATGAAGGTTTACAAATGTACACCTGTACAACCAAGGAAAGCATCACTACTAAATTAGCAAGGCTTTTATAATAAACATTGAAACAAGATTTGCTTTCAAAGTGTAAACTTACATCTATTACTACACATACAATGCATATATTTATAGGAAGCAAAAAAAGCTATCTGAATATGTAATCATGCTTACATGTTGAGCTACCAAATTCACTTTTCAGTGGCCCCTTTTCACCTCTATCTGATTCCTACTTTCTGAATCTACTATGAAAAAGCAAAATAAAGCTCAACATGTTCTTGTAATTCTATAAGCAAAACAATATACAAATTTCCACTCTTTCTCATTGCAGACCAAACTAAAAAGTTAAAATGGGACTTAACTTTTCGTTTAGTGCACATAACTGGATAGAAATGTCACCATGATTTTGTTTTTCCTACCTCTTACAACAATTACATATGTAAGTATATACAATACTTCTGTACATTGCCAGAGACATTTTAGGGCAGTATTTGTATTAAAACCACACCACTGTAAATAATGTAAGTTCTTTTCATCTCAAGTCATTTAATTCTTAATTGCCGAGATTTTATTTGCATGATAGTTTGTGAATTACCAAAATACAACTTAACTTTCTTTTTAAAATATTAATAATATTTATGCAGTTGATTGTTAATCTGTTATAAAAGGCTTCACACAAAGGACAAAAAAAAATAAGGACTATTTTTCTATATACATCTCTATAAACCTGTTGTGCTATGGGGTCCGTAGACCTACCAGACTGCAAGCCAGTTTATTAAAAGAATACTGTACTTTTTCCTTTAAAAACTATTTTTGTGACTTTACAAGGTAAAAATTTACAAAATATGTGACAGCTTTTTTTGATACAGTTACATCATATACAGGCATTCTGTGCTTTGCCAGCAATCCAATCTGATAGGTCTCCACTCAGGGCTGAATATAATTTATAATTCACCGCCCCACCCCCCAAATATACACAAGAACCTTAAAAAATTTACAAATGGATGAATAAAGTCAATAAATAGTTTTGCTTAAAAAAAAAATTTTGAAGATTCATAGTTGAGTTGTGTTTTGATAATTCACAAAAGAAACGTTCTTTTCACGTGGTTACATCTTCTTTCTCTTTTTCCTTTACAGCATTCCATTTGGTGGTCCTCCAATAGGCCCTAGATCTGGGCTGTTTTTCAAATAGTATTTTTCCAACTTGGCCAGTATATGCTTCCCATATGTGTATTTGCGCAAAGTAGTAATGTGAGGTCGAATCTGAAAAACAAATAATCTGCTTAGGAAATCTAAGTTATTTCAGTTTGATTTCTAAAAAAGTGTCCCCAACTCGGGGTGATTTAGAAGAATAATAGGAATTTTAAAATTCAAACCTAAAGCAAGTTGTTTGCAAAAGCAGTTTTGTTCAACATAATCTCTCCAAACTTCTTCTTTCAAAATTGTTCAATGAATAAACAAAGCACTACTTCTAAACTATTACAACCCATGCAAAGAGTAGAGGAGCTCCAAACACAACAGGAAAGTACCACTAGTGAGCTATCACTTCTCATGTATAGCTCCAGGTAGTTGGACAAAAATTCAATACAAAATGGAGCAAAAAGACATGAACAAGCAATCAGATGTGTGATGGCTAATAGATTTAAGATGTTCAGTATCTCACCAATAGTTTTTAAAATGCAAATGACAAGAATCATATTATCTTTCCATCCAGACTGGCAAAGACTTTATAAGTAATAATAACTGGCACTGATGACATAATGGTGAAACAGGCACTCTTCTCATATACTGGACGGACAGATGGGCAAACATGTACGAGATGTTTTGAGAGCAACTAGGAAGTACCTATTAAAAGTAAAATGTTTACACACTTTGCACCAGCAATTCCACATCTAGGAATTTAACCTACAAAAACAATTCTGCAAAGACACTCATATAAAGCACAGACTATAAATAGTTAAAAAATTAGAAATAATCCAATTCTAAATATAATATTGGTTAAATAACGTAGTTGTTAAAAATAAGATTAAAATTTTTGTAAGTATATATATTTAAGCAGAAATATTAAACTAAAAAAAGGTAGAAAACTTAATCAAACTGAAGAATATTAAAAATAAGAAGGCCAAAAATAAATTTATCTCATGAGATCATTTTCTCTCTATATGAGGAGACGTCCAAAAATGTTATGTACTTTGTCCCGTTTCTTAATGAATAAATTTAGAAAAAGATAGAGTATTTAAATATTATTTCTTCCACTGTTCTTTTTAATGCTAAGTTTTCCTATGGAAATTAATGATTTCTTAAAGAATCATTAGATTCTAGGAGGAGGACAGAGAGAGAAAACAGCTTAACTGATTCAAAAAACCAATCAAATCAAGATAAATTCTCTCTTTCAGACAATGTATTAGGTTAGTGAGAAAATCTAATTAGATTTTAACATCAATGTTTAACCTATGTATTACGGCAAATCAAATATACCTAAATAAGATGGGGAAGGTAAGACGATGCTAAAAGTAGATAAAGAGATGAGAAATGAGTGCAATTCATTGTGCAGATTACCTTAAGAATTTACTAAAAGGGTATAACAAATTATCTGTATCTGCCAAAGGTCATCCACTGATTTTAGATTTTTTCTCCAGTTATAGCATATACGAGGAAAGTAAAGCCCAGGAAGTTAAAATGCATAGCCTAAAGTCACACAAAGTGAATCGCCAATTGTAAGTGCTAGAAAGTGTATTACCTTGTGCATGATTATCTTTCTTTGAGCAGGTTCAGCCATATCAATCATCTTCTGAACAACATAATTGGCATACTGGTCCTTCATCATGGTGTATAAGGCACTGTGAGGACCATCATTCTGGCAGCAAACTTCATCAATCAGTAAAGCTCTCTCAGCGCGGGAGGCATGAGTAACACACTTTTCTACTACATTGCTAAAAATTAAAGCACATAAACCACAAATTATTTTTTTCTTTATAGCAAAATTTCCTTAGCTTTTCACAGAACTTGCTCAACCCATTGGAAGAAAGAAGAGTAAAGATGGGGATTCACTTGTGATTCTCTTTGGATTACTTTTAAAATAGAAATTAGTATCACAGGAGAACCTATATTGGACATCCATAAGTTTAATTACAGGCCTTTTAAAATTATAATTCAAAAAAGTGGAAACTATGTCACTAATAACGCCAGAGAGTTTCACAAACATGCACCAAATATTTTAAATTTGCATTTAATCACAGGTCTTGGGGACAAATAATTTTCTAAAAACAGATTTCAAAAATAGAATATATAGGCGACATCAGTGACATGGCAGAGTGAGCTCAGCAGGGACTCTCTCCCCTCCAAACTACAACCAAAGGAACAACTGAATTCCCACCAAAAAATCCTAATAACACAGAGATCGTCAGAGACCCACAGCAGCCAAATGACGGAGGTCAGAGAGGCTGGAGCCGCCCCGGAGGAGCTGGAACAGGGTAGGAGAGAACTTCGCTTCCCGCCCTAGAGACTGGGATCGCTGCCATGGGGGAGGGGACGCACATCCGCGGGATTGTCCAGGACTCCCACCGCCCCAGCAGCGGAAACCCTCTGATGGGAGAAAGCTTTCATGTGGGGGACCCCATCAAGAAAGGGCCCCAGGAAACCAGAGAGCGAGAGGTGATCAGAATCCAGGTCTGTGCGCGAGTGAAAGTGCCCCTCCTCCCTCAACCCACGCTGCGCACTGCCATCACCAACGAAGGTGGAGGGCTCAGAACACGTGGCTCTCGACCCCCATCTAGTGGCGACAGACTGTAACTGCAACCAAATAATAGCATATGCGCAAACACCACTCTACCATCCAGCAATTTATAAAAGCTGCAGACCAAAAGGAAAACAATAAAAACAGAGAAGTATGTCCTGAGGACTTGGAAATAGGTAAACTAAGTGACAATGAATTCAGAGTAGCTATCATCAAAAACTCAATGAGGTAAAGAGAAATACAGAGAGACAAGTCAATGGGTTCTGGAGTTACTTCACAAAAGAGATTGAAACTATAAAGAAGAATCAATTAGAAATACTAGAGATGAAAAATACAATGGATCAGATAAAACAGAATACGGATTCTCTGAATGCAAGTGTACACACCAGAGGAGCAAATTAGCGTAATCGAAGATAGGCTGAATGGCTCCAGATAGAGGAAGAAAGAGAACTAAGAATTTTAAAAAGTGAAGAAAATCTCCGAAAATTAGCAGACTCAATGAGAAAATCCAACTTAAGAATTATCGGAATCCCTGAGGGTGTGGAAAAGGAAAATGGAGCAGAAAGTGTGCTCAAAGAAATAATACAAGAGAATTTCCCAAATCTAGGAATTGAGGGAGAAATGTGTGCGGAGGAAGTCTTCAGATCTCCTAGATTTGTCAATATAAAAGGACCTACTGCAAGGCATATAGTACTAAAAATGGCAAAAATGAATGACAAAGAAAGAATACTCAGGGCAGCAATGCAGAAGAAAATAACCTACAAAGGAACCCCTATCAGACTTTCAGTGGATTTCTCTACCGAAACCTTACAAGCTAGGAGAGAATGGAATGACATATTCAAAACTTTAAAGGATAAAAATCTTCAGCCAAGAATACTCTATCCAGCAAAAATATCCTTCAGATATGAGGGAGAAATTAAATGTTTTCCAGACAAACAAAAGCTAAGGGATTTTGTAGCCAAAAGACCTCCACTACAAGAAATCCTCAAGAAGCCTCTCCTACCTGAAAAAAGAAAAAACGGGAGAAAGGGGTCACAAAACACAGAGTAGGGAGACAGATAGAATGAGAATAGGATAGCAAATATTCAACTATAGCACTAAGATAAAGGGAAGGAAATCACCAAAGCAAAGACAATCTTATCACTCTAACCACAAACTCACAACACAAGTTGGAATAAGAGATGAAAATAATAATTTAGGAGGGAAGAGGAAAGGGACTGAAACAGTCTAGGCTAAGGAAGTAAGAGACCACCAGAAAATGGACTATGTTACATACGAGATTCTGAATACAAACTTCAGGGTAGCCACCAAACTAAAAAACAGAATAGAGACACACAAAACATAAATAAGGAAAAATCTAAGAAACCCAGCATAAGAAATTGCAGAAGTCAATGGGTAGGCGAGAATACAGAGGATGAGAAACAAAGGTAATGCAGGAAAACCAGATAACAAGCGACAGAATGAGAGCATTAAGCCCTCATGCATCAATAATCACCCTCAATGTAAACGGATTGAACTCTCCAATAAAAAGACACAGAGTGGCAAAATGGATTAAAGAACAAGATCCAACAATTTGTTGCCTCCAGGAAACACACCTCAGCCCCAAGGACAAACACAGGCTCAGAGTGAAAGGGTGGAAGACAATACTTCAAGCTAATAGCAAACAAAAGAAAGCAGGTGTCACAATACTTATATCAGACAAAATGGATTTCAGAATCAGGTGGGTAAAGAGAGACATAAAGGGCCAATATATAATGATCAAAGGGACACTTCATCAAGAAGAAATAATGCTTATAAATATCTATGCACCCAACACAGGAGCACCAAAGTTCATAAAGCAACTATTAACAAACCTAAAAGAAGATATCAAAAATAACACAACAATAGCAGGGGACCTCAACACACCACTCACATCAATGGACAGATCATCTAGACAGAAAATCAACAAGGAAACAGTGGAGCTAAATGAAAAGGTAAAACAATTGGACTTAATAGACATGTATAGAACACTTCATCCAAAAACAGCAGAATACACATTCTTCTCAAGTGTGCACGAACATTCTCAAGGATAGCCCATATGTTGGGAAACAACGCAAGCCTCTAAAAATTTTAAAAAATTGAAATAATAACAAGCATCTTCTCTGATCATAATGCTATAAAGCTAGAAATTAATTACAAGAAAAAAGCTGAGAAAGGCATAAGGATGTGGAGACTAAACAATATGCTTTTGAACAAGCAATAGATGATTGAAGAAATTAAAGAAGAAATAAAAAAATACCTGGAGACAAATGAAAATGATAACATTCCATATCAACTCATATGGCATACAGCAAAAGCTGTATTAAGAGGAAAATTCACCACAATACAGACACATCTTAACAAACAAGAAAAATCCCAAATAAGCAATCTTAGAGAAAGAAGAACAGACAAAGCCCAAAGTCAGCAGAAGGAGAGAGAATAAAAATCAGAGCAGAAACAAATGCTATTGAAACAAAAAAGGCAGTAGAAAGGATCAAAGAAACAAAGAGCTGGTTCTTTGAGAAGATAAATAAAATTGAGAAACCCCTAGCGAGACTTACAAAGAAAAAAAGAGAGAAAGCTCAAATAAATGAAATCAGAAATGAAAGAGGAGAAATAACAACAGACTCTGCAGAAATACAACGGATTATACGAGAATACTAAGAAAAACTATATGCCAACAAAATCGATAACCTAGAGGAAATGGATAAATTCTTGGACTCCTATAATCTCCCAAAGCTTAGTCAAGAAGAAGACAATTTGAACAGACCAATCACAAGGAAAGAAATTGAAATAGCAATCAAAAGTATCCCAAAGAATAAAACCCCAGGACCAGATGGCTTTCCTGGGGAATTCTACCAAACTTTCAGAGACAATCTAATACCTATCCTTTTCAAGCTATTCCAAAAAGTTAGGGAGGATGGAACACTTCCTAACACATTCTATGAGGCCAACAATCACACTGATACCAAAGCCAGACAAGGACAGCATGAAAAAAGAGAACTACAGGCCAATATCGCTGATGAACATAGATGCAAAAATTCTCAACAAAATTTTGGCAACCCAAATTCAGCAATTCATCAAAAGGATGATACATCATGATCAACTGGGATTCATACCAGGGACACAGGGATGGTTCAACATCCGCAAATCAATCAACATGATACACATCAACAAACTGAGGAATAAAAACCACACAATCATTTGACAAGATCCAACAGCCATTTATGATAAAAACTCTGAACAAAATGGGCATAGAAGGGAACTACCTCAACATAATAAAGGCCATACATGACAAACCCACAGCCAACATCATACTCAATGGGCAAAAACTGAGCGCCATCCCCCTGAAAACAGGAACGAGACAAGGATGCCCTCTATCACCACTCTTACTCAACAAGGTACTGGAGGTTTTGGTAAGAGCAATTAGGCAAGAAAAAGGAATAAAAGGAATCCAAATAGGGAGGGAAGAAGTAAAACGCTCGCTATTTGCAGATGACATGGTTCTATATATAGAAAACCCCAAAGAATCCATCAGAAAACTTTCAGAAGTAATCAACAACTACAGCAAAATTGCAGGGTATAAAATCAATTTACACAAATCAGTAGCATTTCTATACTCTAATAACAAACTAATAGAAATATAACTCAAGAACACAATAACATTCACAATAGCTACAAAAAGAATAATATACCTCGGGTGAATTTAACTAAGGAAGTGAAAGACCTATACAACGAAAATTACAAGGCCTTTCTGAAAGAAATGGATGACGACAAAAAAAGATGGAAAGACATTCCATGTACATGGATTTTAAGAATAAACATAGTTAAAATGTCCATACTATCTAAAGCAATCTACAGATTCAATGCCATCCCAAGCAGAATCCCAATGACACTCTTTACAGAATTAGAACAAAGAAGCCTAAAATTCATATGACCCAACAAAAGACCCCGAACTGCTAAAGCAATCCTGACAAAAAGAACAAAGCTGGAGGCATCACAATCCCTGACTTCAAAACATACTACAAAGAAAGCTACAGTAATCAAAACAGCATGGTACTGCTACAAAAACAGGTGCACAGATCAATGGAACAGAATTGAAAGCCCAGAAATAAAACCAGACATCTATGGACAGCTAATCTTCGACAAAGGAGCTGAGGGCATACAATGCAGAAAAGAAAGTCTTTTCAACAAATGGTGCTGGGAAAACTAGAAAGCCACATGTAAGAGAATGAAAATTGACCATGCTTTTTCACCATTCACCAAAATAAACTCAAAATGGACCAAAGACCTAAAGGTGAGACCTGAAAACAAGGCTTTTAGAAGAAAATGTAGGCAGTACACTCTTTGACATCAGTATTAAAAGGATGTTTCCAGACACCATGTCTTCTCAGACAAGGAAACAATAGAAAGGAAAAACAGTTGGGACTTCATCAGACTAAAGAGCTTCTTCAAGGCAAAAGAAAACAGGATTGAAACAAAAAACCAATCCACTAACTGGGAAAAAATATTTGCAAGTCATAGATCCGACAAAGGCTTAATATCCATAATATATAAAGAACTCACACAACTCAACAACAAAAAATCAAACAACCCAATCAAAAAATGGGCAGGAGACATGAACAGACATTTCTCCAAAGAAGATATACTGATGGCTAACAGGCGCATGAAAGATGTTCATCATCGCTGATCATCAGGGAAATGCAAATCAAAACTACACTAAGATATCACCTTACACCCATTAGAATGACAAATAGTCATTCTATTTAATAACTAAAACAAATAGTAACAAATGTTGGAGAGGTTGTGGAGAAAAAGGAACCCTCACACACTACTGGTAGGACTGCAAACTGGTGCAGCCACTATGGAAAACAGTATGGCGATTCCTCCAAAAAACTAAAAACAGAACTACCATACGACCCAGCCATCCCACTACTGGGTTTCTATCCAAAGAGCTTGAAGTCAGCAATTCCAAAAGTCCCATGCACCCCAATGTTCATTGCAGCATTATTTACAATAGCCAAGACGTGGAAGCAACCTAAATGCCCATCAACAGATGATTGGATAAAGATGATGTGGTATATATATATATATATATATACACACACAATGGAATACTACTCAGCTGTAAAAAAGAACAAAATTGTCCCATTTGCAACAACATGGATGGACCTTAAGGGAATTATGTTAAGTGAAATAAGCCAGACAGAGAAGGACAATCTCTGTATGACTCCACTCATATGAGGAATTTAAAAATGTAAACAAAGAGAACAGATTAGTGGCTACTAGGGGAAAGGGGGTTGTGAGGGGTGGACACAAAGGGTGAAAGGGTGCACCTACAACATGACTTACAAACAATAATGTACAACTGAAATTTCACAAGATTGTAACCTATCATTAACTCAATAAAAATTTTTTAAAAATTACAATATATAAGGGCAAACCAATTTGTCACGTAGATTCTTTAAGAATAAAAGCAACGTTCTATATGTGCTTTTTGCCTCTAGTGAAAAAAGGATTATATTCCAATGCTACATTCTACATGCACTTCTGTGCTTGCTAATAAAAGCCAAAGTGTTGAAAGAATTGACCCTTAGAATTAGACAATATTGGAATACCTGGCAAATTTGTGTTGACTCAGGGCTAAGACTTTTCCTCTGATTTCAGAAACAATTTTGCTCTTATCTTCAGGTCGACCATGTTCCAGTACATGTTGAATAACATAATTGCCATACTGATCCTAGGTACAGATATTTAAAAATTACTTTCCTTAAGTCATTCCTTTAGTATAAAGATTATTCCTTAAACAGATGTTAATCATTCTTCTAAAAATCCATCAGTTAGGAGAATACATCAGCCTTTTGTATCATTGTGTGTTTCCATAGTGTTAATTTAATAATAAATATTTCCTTAAAAAAAAATCAAAACAATTTTCAAAAATATATAAACATTTCAAATTATTAGGGAGTTTATACCTGTACCAACTGCTCTGTATGTTGGTGGAGTTCTTCTAAGATAGGTAAGGTCTGTTCTGCAGTGCAATGCTCCAGGATGCGCTGAATTACTCTGCAGCCATAAGGATGAGTTGAAAGTACAAACACCTTAAAATAATTGGAATAAATAAATTTCCATTCTCTGACATTTTTGGGAAGTTCTAAGAAGTAGACAGGTTTCTGAAGACACGCTGAATTAATTTAAAATAGAAGGGTGGGGGATTCACATTTAATATGACCACCACCATGTCAGCAAAGACTGGCAATCTGGGTGCTCAATTTAGGAGCTAACAGATGTTTTGATCAAAAGGAACTTAACTAGAAGATGCATAGCATGTAATAATGGAATGAATGGACTGCAGGGTGCACATGGTAATTAAGAGATATTAATTACCACGTATTAGTTACTAATTGATATTTATTTTGTCTTTTATTATACAGACTTAAGTCCTCCTCTCTCCTCTCTCAGGAAATTTGGGAAACGCTGTTGGATTTATAATTTTAACAGTGATTATCTTTACTCCTTATTTCTAAATTTTTTAGCTTCAAAAAAACAAAGCTATCTCCTGACTCCCACCATGAAAGAGGCAGAAATTAACGCACATTCACTATTTTGTCTCCTATTTTTATAAAGAAGTACTGGGTATTATCTTGTGACTTACGCGAAATGTGTTAACAGTCAAATTCTAAAATAATGCCCTGCTAACTAATTAGAAGCCAAAAACCAATCTTACTTGTCCTTTGAAAGCATCAATGATGAATTGTAGTGACTGTGGCTGAACACATTCAATACATTTTTGTACAACATGGTTTCCATTCTGATCTTTCACACACTTGAGTACATGACCATCTAGCTCCTTTACCATTTCGCTCTGCAAAAGAGAAATAACTCAATAATTTAAATAATTACCTCATCAAACAACATAATAGGATTAAAAATGCCGAGACGGGCACAAAAGTATACTCAAAATTTTCTATTATATCAAAGTTTAAAGTCTTACCCCCTAAAGTATAATTAGTAGAAGTCATTGAAGGTGCGACTTATTAAAACATTTTGCAGATTTATAATGCAAATGATACCTGCTGCAATTTAACCTAGTGATGCTGAATTTGCTATATTTAAACTACTATCTTCACTGCGTACATCTTCCACTCATCTTTCTCAGTTGACAACTAATATAACAAATTTAGAATCTATACTTTTTTCCTACTTAGCATCCCCCTTCCCGCAAACAATTATTTTTAATGGCTGCATGAGCCTATCAAGTACATGAAAAAGGGTAAGGAACTGAGTATTTATTGGCCATGTGATTTTTATATATTATCTCAATTATGGGAAGAAATTATTATTATTTTAGATTTTATTTTTTCCCTTTTTCTCCCAAAGTACATAGTTGTGCATTTTTAGCTGTGAGTCCTTCTAGTTGTGGCATGTGGGACACCGCCTCACCATGGCTTGGGGCCCCCAGGTAGAAATTATTGTTGGACATTTTTATTCCTTCTTTTTAATCATTTACAATAAAGGACTTCCTTCAATACGTATTCCTTTTCTTTATCATTTCAAACCTTCTTTGGAAACACATTCTTGGGAGAGTTTAGATTTTTGCTCATTTAAAGGGCAAAAACGACCCCTTGCAATTTATATTTCTTTGATTACTAATAACTTATTGACAGTAAGGTTTATTTACTAACTGCATTTTCTTTCAGCTAATGATCTTAATATTGTTTTCTTATAAATTTTTAAGACTTTGTTAAATAAACATCTTAATCCTTAGAGAAAAATATCGGTAACCACACAACAATCTGTGTGCCTTATCAGTGCAACAGGAAATAGTGTTGTGAAGAAAGGGAGTATACATAGTATAGAGTCTCTCTCACCCAATGAACTCTCAACTACATTCTGATATGATTATAGAGGAATCCTGTTAAGTCAAGATTTAACACACATTTGGTTATAAAATATGGACTAATTTACAAAATAAAATATACTTAAGAATCCAAACCATTATTCATTAACTGCTTCATCTAATGTTTACTCTTAGCACTTTCTATTTTCAAATATTAAAGACATTTAAAATATCTTTAAAGTATCTATACGAGTTTGAGACTACACAGCAGAAAAGTTCAAAGCTTCTACATAATCAAATTTGTTGCTCTTTCTCCATTGTGACACATCTTCAATTACTCTAAAACTCAGGATTTCCACCAGAGGAATAATACTATTTTCTCACAGATTTTCAATGTTGTGATGATTGCATACAGACACATATCCCATGCATACATACACTGTTATTGTTTTTAACTCTAGAATATGCTTTATTGTATGTATGTGGGTTTAGAGTCAAAGCTGATCTCTTTCAAACTTACTAATTACCAATACCTTTTAAGAAATAATTATTTCCTTTACTCTTACATGTTTCATTGTAATATACAAACTTGTTATATACAAAATAGTATCTATTTGGGTTTATGAATTTCATTTTAAAGTCTGTTTAATCTCATATGAGAAACATATTAATAATTAGAGATGCTTCACAGTTTATTGTAAAAATCTAGTGGGTCAGTATTTATCCTCATCCCCTAACTCTCATTATTCTTGTGTATTGCAAATAATTTTCAAAATTATTTTGATTAGTTACAAGAAAAACCCCATGACTAGATGATTGGAATTACATTAATCCTTTTTTAACTTAAAACATTTAGACTTTTCCACCCAAGAACATGCTATATTTCCCATTTAATTTATTTGTGTTCTTTCCTGTCAAAGAACTGTAAACCTTAAGAGAATTTTTAGGTTACTTTTCCTGTTGAGTGAGATTTTAAAAAACTTTATATATATTTTTAAATGGCCATATAGGAATGCAATTGGCTTTTAAAATTTTATTCTTATGACAGAAATATAAATACGATCCAAATAAACACTGGAAATAGTTATACATATTCCTGATACTAAAGAAAATCAAATAAGCAAGTGACAGCAAAAAATCCCTATGATCTAGCATTCTGCTTGCCACACAGTAGATACTCAAATATCTTCATTTAGAGATGAAAAGATATTGAATAGAATAGAGGACAGATTAAAAATCTGTTGCATAACTCAATTAACAATGTATTGTTTGAGATAGATTTTTTTTAAATATTGTAGTCTAGTTGTGGAAATATTTACTATTTCACTCCAAGATTATTGTAAGATAAAAAATACTTTAAAAATTGAATAAAATAATACAAAAAAATTTTGTCTTAACTTACAATTACCTGCTGGTCAGATGAAATAGACTCTAATGCTTTCTGAATAACACGACAACCATACATCTGCAAGGCTAAGGGTAGAACGTGACCACGAATACGAGTAGCCAGGGCTAATTTTTGATCCAAACTCCCAAACTGACAGAAAAGAAATAATATTAATAAAAAGTGACCAAAATATTACTGTGTTAAGCTTGCATAACCCACTGTTCTTAGCTTACTGAATCTATTTTTAAAATACCACATTTGGTAATTATGCAGGGAGGAGGTATTTAGGTAAAAGCTAATTAAGATAGACCCAAAGATACTTGAAATGATAACTTTATTACTTTTTTGGGCGGTTAAGTCATGTTATCTAAAATTTCCTTGTTACTTAACATATTAACCACCTGTTATTCTTTTAAAGTAAACATTTTCACTCTTCATTCATATAATGAACTTTTGAGCCAAACATTTAGACCAGATACTGTGGAGGAAACCTGTTAAGTTACAACATGGAACTTTAGGTGGGTTTTTTTTTGGTGAGGAAGATTGACGCTGACCTAACATCTGTGCCAATCTTCCTCTATTTTATGTGGGATGCCAGCACAGTGCAGCTGGACAAGCAGCGCTAGATCCGTGCCCAGGATCCAAACCTGCAAACCCTAGGCCGCCGAAGCAGAGCGCATGAACTTAACCACTATGACACCAGGCTGGCCCCGATGGATTTTTAGTTCTAAACTAAAAGTTAGCTAAATGACAAAATAAACACCACCTAACAAAACCAAAAAAAGATGATACTATTGTTCATTAACTGCTTCACCTCAGACTTACTCCCAATGCTTTATATTTTCAAATATTAATCAGGATTAATATTAAACTTCTCATTTAAAGCAGGCCTACATATTTTACAAATATTTTTGTGATAAAATATGTATCATAAAATACGTCATCTTTTCTATTGGCCCAAACAGAAATGCTGTATATATTAAGCCATAACTCCCCTCTCCCCTCTTCCCCCAACCCTTGGTAAGCCCTAATCTATTTTATGTCTCTATAGAATTTGTCTATTCTAGATATTTCAAATAAACGGAACCCGAAAATGTTTGTCCTTTTGTGTCTGGCTTATTTCACTTAGCTTCATTCATGCTGTAGCATGTATCAGAACTTCATTCCTTGTTATGGTTGAATAATATTCTATTGTATGCATATATCACATTTTGTTTAATCCATTCATCTGTTTGATATTTGGGTTATTTCCATCTTTTGGCTATTGTGAATAATGCAGAAATGAACACCATTGTTTGAGTCCCTGTTTTCAACTTTTTTGGCTATATACCTGGGAGAGGAATTGCTGGGATGTGTGGTAATTTTATGTTTAGTTTTTTGAGAAACTGCCAAACTTTTCCACAGCAGCTGTACCATTTTACGTTTCCACCAAAAACGTATGAGGGTTCCAAGTTCTCCCTATCTCCACCAACATTTGTTATTTTCCATTTTTTAAAAAATTACAACCACCCTAGTAGATGTAAAGCAGGATGTCATTGTGGTTTTGATTTGCATTTCCTTAATGACTAAGGATGTTGAGTTTCTTTTCATGTGCTTATTGGCCATCTGTATTATCTTCTATGGAGAACTGTCTATTCAAGTCCTTGGTCCATTTTTTAATTGGGTTGTCTTTTTGTTGTTGAGTTTTAGGAGTTCTTTATTATATTCTGGATATAAAATCTTTATCAGATAAATGATTTGCAAATATTTTCCCCTAAGCTCATATATTTTTATATAAAAATGACTCTTACACAACCTTCAGAGCTTTTCTGAGCATTAAGCATATAGCTGGATGGATATATAAACATATACATGTGCTTACCTCAAAAAACTTCTGTATAACATAGTTGCCAAAAACATCTGTCATTAACTGATAGGCTGCTTGTAGAATTTCATTAAATACCATTTGTCGCTCAGCAGGAGTAGCTCTCTCTAGCTTTTGCTGTATGAATCTATACGGAAAAAATTTTAAATGCCATGACAATACATTGGAAACAAGCTCCTACAAAATCTGTCTCTGACTTGAGTATTATACAGCCCCGCCCCCACACATATACACACAAATAAAATTATTTCCAGAAATAGTACCAACACATTTTATACAGTGGACAGCTAATTTAAAACAAAAAGGACAAAAGCTATAAAGCATTCTTTATAACACCTTAATTTATAATAACTTCTAGTGAAAAAAAAATGCGGACGTAAAGATGTTTAGTCCTTCTGAAGTTAGTTCTGCTTGCATTATAATCAACGAAAAAATTACAAAGATTTTACTGGTTACTCACGTATTTTTCATAATATACAATATTATTAAATATCTATTTTAAAAACATAATAAACACTTAGAAATAAAATTCATCAAACACAACTGAATTCCTAACTAAGCTAGCCACTGTGAGTGATACGAGATTCATTTGCTACTCTTAGGGAATTTTCAACTACAGGGGTTGATTTGTATGCAACTATCTAATCAAAAACTACTTTTTAAAACTTTCAGGTTTACCTTAAAATAAAACTGTAAAAAGAAAAAACATCTCAAATTTAATAAATGTTAGAATTCTACTACTATTTTCCTTTCTGTGGTCTATCTTGACACCACTAACTCACATGTACCTCAAGGATTACAGTACATGTATTGTTTAATATACAAAGGCACCAAATTTTCCTATAAAAGTAAATGTTTCAAAAAAAGAAAAAAGAAAAATAAAGATGAAATGTGTCAATTTAAGCCAAGTCACATCAAATACGAATCTATAAAGAAACACAAAAGCATTTAACTTTGTTTTTTGATATATATATATTTTTTTTGGTGAGGAAGATTCACCCTGAGCTAACATCTGTGCCGATCTTCCTCTATTTTGTATGTGGGATGCCTCCACAGCACAGCTGATGAGTGGAGCAGGTCCACACCTGGGATCCGAACCCACGAATCTGGGCCGAAGAAGCAGAGCACGCAGAACTTTAACCACTCGGCCACAGGGCAGGCCCCTTGATATTTTTTTTTAAGACAAAGTATACATTAGGGATGATTAAGTCCACAAATGTAATTCAGAGCATTATTTTCAAAGGGAAATTTAAGGAAGTTAAATGTATTCAGAGTCAGTGTAATGAAGGAAAAAAATATAATCCATATTGGGTATTTTTAAAAAGCTTTCAATTTTTATGCTGATTAAATAATTCAAATCAAGAAAAATTTAGCTCTTATAACGTAGGAATTTGCAAGGCAAAAACACAGTAGAAAGTATCATAAATCATAATCACCTACCTAGAACCATGCTGGTCTTGGGAAAACTCAACTATGTGTCCAATCAAGTCTCTAAGTTGAAGGTTTGGGAAACGGTTGTTCCTGAAATCTTCCAATAATCTACTTCGGCCAGAGGGCATAATATCAGACCTATTATACCGAAGCCGAGAAGGAGGAAAGAGCTGGCTGCTGGAGCTAAACAGACTGGAAGTGCTTGAAGCACTTCGATATTTTGCTTCCGCTCCAGGTGCTGCAGAGATATATCGACCACTACCATTTGTCAGTCCTCCTACAACAAAGCAGCTGTGGTCAGCAAATATTTTCAACAAAGTCATTCCTCAAATAAAAGTTACTTGAACTAAAAATTCAGTCAATAAAGAAATATTCACCCCACCAATTCCTATATGTTTAACAGCAAATTAAAATTGGAGGGAAAACCCCACACATTTACTTAATGTGTGTGGCTACAGGATATGAGGGAAAAAAGAGCCTAGAAAACGTGAGAAAAATAAACCTGTATTTGTTCGTGGCAGTTTAGGTTAAAACATAATTATAACATCTAATATCATACACAAAATCTTCATTGGTTCTTGGAAGCTTAGTTTAAAAAATAATTATAACTACTAATGTCATACATACTTCAACACCAGAATACTGAAACCACCAACACAATTTTAAGTTACATTAACAAGCAAGGTACAAATAGCTAGCAAACTCAGATTTCAAGCCACTGAAATTTACTAGCAGTGTTAATGGAACACTAAGGGCTAAATCTGTACTTTTCTGGAATATATAAAAAAACGCATCACGTTGTATATACTTCTGTGTAAAGAAAAACTACTTCTTAGTTAACTCACTGATTAACTTCTGAAGTTAAAAAAACTCACATTAGATAATAAATCCAAATATACTTTATATTAAAATATTTAAAAATTTATTTAAAAAATCTCTCTGTAAAACGCTATTTTACAGACAAAAATTAGTAGTAATGAACAGCATTTATTATTCTTAGAGCTTTAATACTGACCATTTAAGACAAATGAATAAAAAGCCTCTTTAACTTATATTTCATTCCAAACAAGAAAATTAAAGGACAGTCAATAGAAACAAAAATAAATACAAGCAGGAAATTGTTCTTATTACAAATAACTGTTTAGAAGTACTTGACAGTGTCCTTTTAAAAAAGAAAAATGTATAGAAAATTGTAAAATGCAGACTTAGTAGTTCAGATAAACAAAATCCACCATCAGCGTTACGCTATTATATACCACCCCTATGTAGAGTAGTGCTATATATACAATCCAGGCCACAGGGTACAGATGATGCCAAGGACACACTGTCAGTGCAAAGTTATACAGACGCATTACAGGCCAAAAGAGTTACAGGAATAAGGAGCAGTAAAAGAGTTATAATCCTGGAGAGTGAATTGGGTTAGACCATTCCTCTCTTACTTTCAGTCTCCACTGCCCTAGCTTTATTTTTCTTCACTGAATTTCCCATCATCCAGTATATTACATACATTATTGTTTATTTGAATCCTCAGCCCCTTTTCCAATGTAAGTGCCATAAAATTACATTTACCTACATGCTAGATAGAGACCTGGTGCCTAAAACAATGTCTGACAGGTACACAATAAATATTCATGAATGCTGTAGTGCCTAAGGTGCAGTTCTGTAATGTCTTTCCTTAAAGTGCGTAATTTAACAAGTCATTTTCTACGCTCAAATCACTAAACATCACATTCTCATGTTTGTTCCAGTTCTACCTTTCTCAGTGCTCATGTATGAAAAATCTAAAAAATGGAAGAATTCAGTGTTTTAATACTGTCTTAATTTCCTCACTACTATTAGGCCTTTTAGTCCCCTACTATTATTTCTATTTCTATAGTTCCATCAACTGTTCACAACAATAACTGACCAGTAGCCAATTCGAGTCTAACAATTCTTTTAACCTTTTTGTAGGGCAGGGATGTTCTGCTTACCATTCCAATCTGTTTTCACAAACAATAATTATATTTTGCTGTTCAAAGGCCACTTTGATGATGTCACTTTATGCTAAAAACCTACAGCATCCTGCTACAGTACATCCTCTAAATTCTTCAGCCTAGTTTTCAAGTCATTATTCCAAATCTATTTCTCACACAAATTTCCTAATAGTATCCTAATTATTCTCTTCTCCCCCTCTTAGTCATAACTATCTCTGTATCAGCTTATCATTATCTCAAACATAAGGCTTAATCCTACCTCTTTATCCTTAATGTGCAAAGATTTTCAACACCAAATTCGAAATACATACTTACCCCAGGAAATGACTATGCCAATTTTATTTGGCATCTTCCAAGTAGTCCTATCAGTATTCAATGGGAATTTCTCCCAGGTCTAGATATCCTATGATTACATTCTATCAATTCCTAAATCCAAACTCCTCATGCACTCTTTAACAACTTCAAATGTCTAATTACGCTAAACTGCTCTGAGTTTAAAAAATCCTGGAATTTCAGTTCTACAAGACTACTATTTTCATTTATAAAACTGAAAAAATTAATTTCACTCAGGGCAGGATACATTCCTTTCCTTACAAACTAATTAAATAAGCATTTAAAACACAATGTAGAAGGTACATTAAACATTTTAAATTTGATTGTCTAAACATTAAAGAATGTCTTCTAAAACTTGTTTTGGGGGACTGGCCCAGAGGCGCAGTGGTTAAGTTCGCACGTTCTGCTTCAGCAGGCCGGGATTCGCCGGTTCAGATCCCGGGTGAGGACATGGCACTGCTTGGCAAGCCATGCTGTGGTAGGCGTCCCACATATAAAGTCAAGGAAGATGGGCACGGACGTTAGCTCAGGGCCAGTCTTCCTCAGCAAAAAAGAGGAGGATTGGCAGCGGATGTTAGCTCAGGGCTAATCTTCCTTAAAAAAAAACAAAAACAAAAACAAAACCTGTTTTGGGATTGAGGGACATTCTACAAAACAACTGGCCTATACCCTTCAAAAATGTTGAGGTCATAAAAGACTGAGAAACAGTTCAAGATTAAGGAAGAGTAAAGAGCTATGACGAATGTCCCATGTGAGCCTCCAAATCAAGCAGTTGCCCTCCTCTCTCTCCCCCTTTCTGGTTTTAAAAGACATCTGTGAGACAACTGGCAAAGTTTGGACAAAGGTGATGTGACAGTAGTAATATATCACTGTTAATTTCCTAACGTTGATAACTGTGATTATATAAGAAAATGTCCTTATTTTCAGGAAACATACACTGATATATTTATGAGTAAGGGACATTATGTCTGCAACTTCCTTTCAGAGGTATCAGGAAAAAAAGAATGGGTCTGAGGGGACAGGGAGATGCAGAGAGGGGGAGGGAGAAAAATGATAAAGGAAATGTGGTAAAATAACATTTGGAGATCTGAGTGAAGAGTATGATAAAAATTTTTTGTATTCGTGTTACAACATTCCTGTAAGTCTGAAATTGTTCCAAAATTAGTTAAAAACAAATAGACAAACAAACACGTCATCTATATTCATACCACGACAACTGGTTGTCTAAAAGCAGATGTGCTCTGTACCAAATGTGTTAAAGGGATAACAGTCCCTTCATCAGCGACATTCCCCTGCCATTTACCACTTCTTAATCATTACTGGAATAAGAGTTTACAGGACATGGAGATCTGTACCATGATTTCAGAGATGACGTCACTATGGTCCAAAAGTGATGTGACATATAGCTAGTTAGCCAGGACTCTTAGGCCAGAGCTTATCACACAATAGTGTGCTGCCCCTTACGTTATTCACATAGGTATCTTTCAAGTTCATTCATGACAACTGAATGAAGGCAAACACCTCACAATTATACTAGTAGAAATAGTACGATTTTATAAGTTTTCATTAATTTCCTTGAGAAGTCTGCTTAGAATCCTTTCCTACTAAATACCAGAAATCAAAAAGATTTAAAAATACTGGGAAAAACAATGTAACAATTACAAAATAAATAAACTTAACTTGTCTTTACTTTTCATTATTTGCTACCTCCCAGGGATTTGGAATGAGAGCTCCTTAACCTGTCTTTCAGACCTGTGTATTCTCTTAAAACTACAGATTCCTGAGCCTTATTCAACACCTGCTGAACTACCCTTGGTGGATAATTTTTATTTAAAAAATCCACTTGAAGGTTATTCTGATAGCCAAGTTTAGAGGCTAATGAATTAGAATCAAGATAATTTAAGGTTTCATTTTAGCAGGTTGTCAACTACTAATTTCAAGTAAGAATGGTAATCCAAGTAGATTTGGTGTCCGGTAAAGGGTACAACATACTGGCTACTAGGCAGAATCTGTTTCTCTGGAAAGCTCAAGAAACAGTAAGGTGATAATCAAAGATGACTGGTTAGTTGGAGTAGGCAAAGAACAAATGATACAGGATGAGTAGCTGGAAAAATTCTAAAACGAGGACAGACTACTTTATTTTATGGCATAACTTTAGTTCTAGTCTATAAATAGGTACACTTAGTATATTCCAGTTCAGTATTTTTTCTCTGTTCACTTTTCAAAAGAAGTATATGGAACATTCATAACAGACTGTAACAGCATGTTGCTAGACTTTAGTGGGGAAAAAGACTTCAGAGCAGCGCTTCTCAATATGCACATGAATAATTTTGGGATATTGGTTTACATATTTCCAATATTAAAAGTTGCAGTTTTTCAAAGGACAACATTGGTCAGACCTTTGTCCTGAGTTCTACATTTCATTTTAAATAGGTTTTATGTGTTCAACATCATCATCAGTTTCTTTATCTACTTTAGAAAGTCCATTTAATGACTTAATATTCATAGCTGATACTATTTGCTAGACCCTGAGGGTCCACAGCATGTATTATTTTGAGAAACAAAAAGGCAAACTATCTATGAGCCTAACTTACCCTAGTATCTGCACATTAATATGGCCTTGTTATCCTCCTGTACACAATGAGGACAAAGGCAGCTAGCATTTATTGAGCATTCTTTATTGGACACTGAGATAGTAAACTTTGCTTAAAATGCTGTACTGTGTTGAACAGTGCCCCCCTACAAAAGTTTGTCCTGTTTGTTTTAAGCCACTCAGCTGCGGCAATGTGCCACAGCAGCCCTAGGAAACTAACAGATTTTGGTACTGAGAGTAAGGTGCTACTATGAACAAATAATTAAAAACGTGGAAGTGACTTTGGAATTGCGTAATGGGTAAAGGTTGGAAGAATTTCAATGTACATAACAGAAAAAGCCTAGACTGCCTTGAAGAGGTATTTGAGAGAAACATGGA